CGGGGAGGGTGGGCCGGGGGGCGCGGCGCCCATGAGGCCGCTACAGCGCTTGATCTGCTTCTGCAGGTACTTGCGATGGTTCACCTTCCGCTTGGACTTGCCAGGCTTATCCAGCGCCAGCTTGATGTTGCTGGACGCCGAGTCGATGAAGCTGAGGAGGTCGCGGGTGGCTTCGCGCAGGTCTCCACCCTCGGCTCCCGACAGCAGCGCGCCCGTGGGCGCCCCAGTCTCTTCATCCTCAAAGCAGCAACCCTTGTCCAAGCCTGCGAAGGCGCTCCCCAGCCCATCTTGGGGGCCCCCGAAGCCGAAGGGCACGAATGGATGAGTGCTCAGGAGCGCTGCTTGCACCGCCATCGTCCCGGCTCGCAGGCTGTCCACACGGCCGCCCGTGCGCCCCCGGCCGGATCCCGCCCAGCCGCGGCGCGCGCCGCGCTGCCCCCTCGCTCCCAGCCCAGCGCGCCGCTCACCTCTCCCGCGAGCTCATTAGATCTTGTGAACGAGGGGCGGAGGGACCGGCAAGGCGACCGCCCCGGTGGCAGAGGGGAGGGGCTTGTTGCCCAAAGCGGGGGAAGGGGGGGGTGCCGGATTTCTTGTTTTATGTGCTTTCTCGAGGCTTAGTTTCCTTAGTCTTAGTCCCTTCTTTCTTTCCTTTCCCTCCCTTCCTTCCTTCCTTCCTCCCTCCCTCCCCCCCTCCCTCCCTCCCTCCCTCCCTTCCTTCCTTCCTTCCTACCTTCCTTCCTTCCTTCACTTCTTTCCTTCCCTGTGTCCCAGGGTGCTTCTTTTGGCTGAAGAAGGCCTGTCCTCAAACTCCAGCTCAAGTCCTTTAGAATGTCCCCTAGGCAGCAGAGAAGGCAACAGCCAGAGAAATGCATCAGTTGGGTTCCATTCCTAGGTCTGGTAACAGTAACAGCCAACAACAACTTGGTTTTTGTCTGGGTCAGTCATCATCTATGTATTACCTCCTTTAATCCTGGGACAACAAGCCTGTTGGCCTCAGTGCTCACAAAAGAGAAAGAGACCAGTATTTCTTCAAGCTCTAGTTCCGTTACTAAGAGTCAAAACTGAGTTTCCCCAGGACCCTTTAGTCCAGAGCTCTGTCTTTTGCCCCTTGATTGTAAAAATAACAACTAGTTTATAGTAATGTTGATGCCAGCATCTGGGCCATCTTTTATTAGAACAAAGCACACAGCAAAGGAAAAAGGAAGCAGTCACCCTAAGTCAGCTTTTGCTTAAGAGAGAGTTATAGATGTATATGAAACTCTTAGCCTGTTGAGAAGAAAAATGGATTGGAACCTCTCCCTTACCTGCCATGCCACTTAGGTTGTCTTGCAAACTTCTATTGCACTTTGAAGATCTCCTTGAAGTTCACTTAGATGCATTTCTACCTTGGGATTGAGAAGGAGAGCAAGTAAAGAAGTTTTGGGTTCTGGCCTCTCCACTCAATAGCTGTTGTCTTGAATTGAAACCCTTGCTCCAGAACCTGGCTTTGGACAAGTGATCAGCCAGTCGGCAGTAAGTAATTAGCAGCTTGCTTCTGTTAAAGGCAAGGCTGTCCACCTCACAGATTAAAGATGTCAAATGTAGAGTCCTGTGCAGTCTGGACATAGATGCTGGGTTCTAGACATTTCTGGCTAAACTTCTGACTGAATTCAAATGCATATTATGTGACATTTGAGTCAATTAAAATTTAAAAAAATGAAAATGTATGATTCAATTATGTGGGCTTTAGGAGTGGCTAATTATCCCTGAAATTAAAACTCAGATTAGAAATTGAGGAGATGTACCCAGTGAATTAATATTTGGCTTATACTGTAACACCCATTTCTCTTACAATCAACTGACAGGTTTTTGTTTTGTTTTGTTTTTTTGTTTTTTGTTTTTGTTGGTTGTGGGGCCTGAACTTTGGGCCTGGGCGCTGTCCCTCAACTCTTCAGCTCAAGGCTAATGCCCTATCACTTGAGCCACAGCACCACTTCTGGCTTTTTTTTCCTGCTTATGTGGTGCTGAGGAATTGAACCCAGGGCCTCATACATGCAAGGCAAGCGCTCTACCACTGAGCCACCTTCCCAGCCCCTCAACTGACAGTTTTAAAAAATAGCCAAGCACTGGTGGTTCGCATCTGCAGTCCTAGTTCCTCAATATGCTAGGATCTAGATTTGATCACAGCTTGAAACCAGTCCAACCATAGAAGTCCTTAAGACTGCATCTCCAAAATAACCAGCAAAATGCTGAGGTATGGCTCAATTGCCAGCCAAGTGAGCTCAAGGCTCTAAGTTTAAACTCTATACTTGCAAAAAAAATGAAGTTCTGTAAGATTAAGAGAAAAATTTTCACATATAATGGCTCCAGGTAAATTAAAGTTATGTTTTCATTGAAACCTGGCCTAATTTTACCTCAAATCAGCTTTAATACCTAAAATTCCAATTGTTTAGAAATGAAGAAAGATTTTTGAATTTGAGTCTTTTCATGTTCCACTTATTTTTACTATGATTATGTTACAATTTAGGTAACTCAGGAAATGGGGAGGGTTTTTTGTTTGTTTCTTTCTTGGTTTCAATTCTGGTCCTGCCTATTGCTCAGCAAGTGTCTTCAGAAAAATCACTTATTTTTCCTGAGACACCAGTTTCTTATATGAAAAAAACAGCTAAAATAATCTCAGAGTTTGGGTGAGAATTGCTTAATGTAACAGGAAAATAATGCTCCTACGTATTAGCTTTTCTCATCTGTATAATGGAGATCATCTCAACTCCTCATGGTTGTTGTATATGAGATGCTATTTATGAAATCACCTGGCACAAAACAGTAGTTCAACAAAGGCTTCCATTCTTCATTCCTTGGGCCCCACATTCCTTACCAATGCTGTACACCACACGATAAAATCAGGATCATTTGTCATTTCTTCCCAACTGCCTATTGTAAAAACTTAGGCAATGACCATACAAACCATTGGAGGAGTACTGAAACTATAGCCAGAGATTGAGTCTATATTCCAATACTGCCTTTATCATGTCACAATAGAAAACTCATCCTCGGAGAAACAACGCAATAGTGAGACAAAGGACAAGGGGGGAATCAGTGCAACAGTGATAAACACAAGACAATATATTGGAAATGATCTGTCCAACTTGGCGGGGGCGGAGTTGTAGGAGAAAACTGAGGGTAGGGGTAACAAGTTTGACAAGAAATGTACTTATTGCTGGGTGCTGGTGGCTCATGCCTGTAATCCTAGCTACTCAGGAGGCTGAGATCTGAGGATCATGGTTCAAAGCCAGCCCGGGCAGGGAAAGTCCATGAGCCTCTTATCTCCAATAAACCACTAGAAAACCAGAAGTGGAGTGGTGGCTATAGTGTTAGAGCACTCACCTTGAGCTGAAGAGCGCAGGGACAATGCCCAAGCCCGGAGTTCAAGCCTCACAATCGACCAAAAAAAAAAAATGTACTTATTACCTTACTCATGTAACTGTAACCACTCTGCATATAACTTTGCAATAAAAAAGAAAACTCATTCTCTGAAGTTTGATTTATAAAGTAAGACTAGTAATATGAGAGTATTTAATAGAAAATCAGAAAGCTATTGGAAATGAGTCTTTTGTCAATCATAAAATTCTACATACACATGCAAATGGCCACCCAGTCACTTACTCTTTCAATAGAAACATTTTGACTCCCACAACAAGTTCAGAATTTTCCTAGTCTTGGGGATACAGGGATAAGAAGCTAAGATTCCTACCCTTTCTAATGGAAGACAGACATGCAAACAGGCCTTTATAATGTAATATATGTCTCAATAAAACAAGTTGAAGGTACCACAATGAATGGGATACAAGAGCCCTCAGTCTGCCCAAAAGTGTCAGAACCTTTACCTAGACAGATAGTTTCGCACTAAGACACAATTAATGCAATTGAGTCTGTCAAGCTAATGAGCAATCCCCATCAGTGAGCAGCCTACACAGGTGCATTCCTAAATGAAAGCAATGGTGTAGATGGAAAAATGAATGCAATAAGACAACAAAGAGCAACTGGTGCTTGAAAGAATTCTAGACCTGACCCCAAAATATGTTCTTAAAAACTTCTACTATCAGCTGGGCGCCAGTGGCTCATTCCTGTAATCCTAGCTACTAAGGAGGAATCACAGTTCAAAGCCAGCCCGAGCAGGAAAGTTCCAGAGAGTCTTATCTCCAATTAACTACCAGAAAACTGGAATTGGTGCTGTAGCTCAAGTGGTAGAGTGCTTGCCTTGAGCTGAAGAGCTGAGGGACAGTGCCCAGGTGGAGTTCAAGCCCCATGACTGACAAAACAAAAACAAATAAACTTCTACTGTCCAAATAAAACTATCCCTATATACTCTCCATTTATTTTTTTTTCGGTTGACCTTTCATTTAGAACAGAGTTCTATCTGGAATGAAATTGGTTTAAAAAAAAGTCAATGGCCAACTCTTGCTGCCCCTCTTTCTCCCCTATGAGTGAGCACTTTCAGCTGAGTGGCTTTGACATCAATACATTTCACTTCCTATGGAGAAGAGGGACTCAGCTTCCAGCCTGCACTAGGGTTGGGGGGTGGGGGCGGAGCTCTGCAGAGCTCCAAACTAGTTCTTTCCTCCTAGTGATGCCTAATGCTGAGCAAGTGGGATTAGTCTCCTTGGGAACCAAGCCCCCCGGGGGCTCAAGGACTGAACTCGCCCCCAAAACCGTTTGGGAGAATTGAGATTTCATATTGTTTTTTTTTTTCTTACACTTGGATTTCAGGACATTACTTAGACAAAAGGCCACCTGAGAGCTGCCGCTTTTTTTGTGGGTAAATATAGCAGCAGGATCAAAAGCTGACTTATTTAATTTGTTTTCCTCTTTGTAACTTTAATCATATTCCCTGCAGGACAATCTTAGTCCTCGGAGATGTCAGGAATGCCCCTTCATAATGAAAGAAATAATTATGCATCTTTTTTTCTCTCTTCTCAAACCAATTTCCTGTCACTTATTAGTTCTGAAATCTCAAAGTAAATTAATTCCTCACACAATCTATGAAGTAGCATTATCATCATAATACAATGTTACTTTATAGATTGCATCCCCTCCCCAAGAGGTGTCTCTCCTTCTCCTTCTTATCTTTGTCCCCTGCACATTATATTCTATTAAACTAAATCTTAACTTCCATCTTAAAATAGTACATGTTATTCTGGTTTTCTGTACTTATCTAACAACTCACTCCAAAATTTAGCAGTTAAAAGCAACAACAATTTTATTGTATTTTGCAATATTATGGGACAGAATTTGGGCACCGCTAGCCAGGAGATACTTCTGGTCCACAGTACTTTGATGACTGGTATGGAGACTCCAACATGGCACCATGCATAGGG